CGGCGGGCTGTTCCTCAACAGGAGGTGCCTCCTCGACAGCAGGCGCTTCTTCGACAGCAGGTTCCTCTTCAGCAGGAGCTGCCTCTTCGACCGGAGTCTCTTCGACGGCAGGTGTCTCTTCGACAGCAGGTGTCTCTTCGACGGCAGGTGTCTCTTCAGCAGCAGGGACTGGCTCTTCAGCGGCGGGAATTGGCTCTTCAGCGGCGGGAACTGACTCTTCAACGGCGGGAGCTGGTTCTTCAGCAGCAGGAGAATCCTCCACAGCCGCCGGTGGCTCTTTTGAGCTACCAGCTTCCTCAACTGCAGGTTCCTCTTCAGCCGCTGGCGGGGCTGCTTGCTCTTCCAAAGCAGGAGGCTCTGCAACGGGTCCTGCTGTTTCTTCGGCGGAGGCGTCTGCCTCGGCTGGCTTTGTCTCCTCTGAAGGTGCTGCGTCGGGCTCAACCGCATCCGCACTCTCTACCGTAGCTTGTTCCTGCTCAGATACCGCTTCGCTGGGTGCCTGTGGTTCATAGGCTGGAGTTTCCGCGGGCGCTTCTGGGGCAGGAGCTTCTGAAGCTGTTTCTGCGGTCGGCTCGACTGGAGGGGGAGGAGTGTCTTCTGTGACTGGATCGGCTGGAGTAGTCTCCTCTGCTGTGGTATCAGCAGCTGGAGCTTCTTCGACAGGAGCAGGATTGTCGGATTGTGGTGGCTCAGCAGATTCCGCAGACGCATCTACCGGTGATGGCTCAGCTTCAGCTGCTGGCTCGGGAGCGGCGGGAGCTGGCTCCTCGATCGGAGGACTGTCCACGACTGCCTCGTCTTGTTCCTCCACTACATCCTCGCTGACAGCGGCCTCGTCTACCGCAGGTGGATCATCGGTCGGTGGCGGCGGGGGCGGTACGGTCTCGCTTACGATCGACCCTGAAGCGTCTTCGGTAGGTTCCTCGATGATGACGCTTTCGGAGACGTCTGAAGAGGGGGCATCTCCATCGGTGATTACTGTCGACCTGTCGTCACCGCTGCCATCGTTGCTAGACTTCTTCCCTCTTGACTTGCTGGTCATCACCTTCTCACTGGCCAATGCCGAGAGCAATGAACCCCTTCGCTCCTTCTTGATAATGCCGATCGGAACGAAGACCTTCTTCTTCTCCTCTTTCGGTGGCGAAGGAGGTGGAACGGATGTCGATGGCTTTCTGGGGCGGATGAACGCGGTGGGCTTGCCTTTACCATTCCCCCACTGTTTCTTCTTTTTGCCTATGCTTGCGGCGTCTGGGTCTTTGGTGTCAGAGGCAAAATGGACAAACTTCTCGGTTGGGGATTTCGGAGGCTCTTGAGCGGCCTGCTCGGACTCACCACTTTTCTCACTCTCTACGACTACTGGCTCCGGTGTTGCATCCGCCGGTGGCGCTGGTGGGGCAGGGGGTATAGGGGGTGCAGGCTCACTGGGAGGTACTGGCAGAACTTCTGGTGCTGACGGTGCTGGAGGTGCTGCTGCTTCGGGTTCTGCAGGTGGTGCCTCTACCGGTGCTGGGGGTGGTGGTGGAGGCGGCAGTACGTCAACATTCGCGGCATCGCTCGGTCCTGGAGGCTCGTCTTTGACATCCTCGGTCACAACTTCAGCTGCCACAACGTCGTCCCCACTACTTGATGGTGCCTCTGCTGGCTGGGTTGATGGATCTTCTGGTGTTGGTTCTGCTGGGGTTATTGCCGCAGGTGCTTCTACTTCTGCTGATGGCTCTTCTGCCGGAGGTGCTTCTGATGTAGCCGGTGGTGCGGCTTCTTCAGGTGTGACCTCTGCTGCTGGCGTTTCCTCCGGAGCAGCTGGAGCAGCCGGAACATTCTCTGGATCTACAATGGTCAATTGGACATGTTACGCATGATACATTCCAAGCATACCTGCTTGTTCGGCATTGCTGCTCTTCTCATCAACTACTTGCGTATATGAGAATACTGGTGTAGGTGGGACTACTCGACGATAGACGGGTTGTTGGGGCTTCGGTGTAGTCGCCGTAGCATAGAAGTTCTTCCCGGTGTTGGTGCCGCCGCTTGCATACGGGTTCGCCCATTGCGATATCGAAACATTCTCGAATTGGCGCATAGTGTATCAAACAAAGTCAGACGCGGCGTTTCGAGGTCCAGAAATTCGATAAGTTGTGCTACGTGTTATAGATGTTTTCTTTGTTCCATTGCTGGTGATAACAAACGGTAGGTATGCAGAGGCGACATTAGACGTGGGGTGCGAGCATTGATTGCGGAGAGACGAATGAGAAACGGGTCAGTCTAGACGCAAAGCACAGAGGGTGGAGGTGTGCAACGTGCGTGGCTTCAATCGGCCAAAGCTGGGACGAGCGCTCAGATCAGACGAAAGAGAGGTGCAGGACAACTGTCACAAGACATGATGCGCGAAATCGTATGGAGATGCCTCGCATTGTGGGCGCAATGGTTCGGTAAGCCTCAGACTGGCATACCCGCATGCTGCCGCAGGCTCACGCTGAGAAGACGATTCTCGGCTGTAAGCATCATTGGTCCACGTAGGGAAACCCAGTTCGCTCAGGTTGATAGAGTTGGGAGCCCAGAAGGTGGGGTTTTCCACTGCGAGGGCTTTTCGATTATTGGTCCGATGATGACTTAGCTTGCAGTTGTGTCGCCAGCGCGGATCGTGGTGCAGCGTTGGTCAACGGCGAAATTTTGCGGCACCGGAAGGCTTGAGAGCGTATAGTGCGGCAAAGCGTCAATTAGCAAGGAGGGCCCTTCTCGCAACCCTCTCGATACCCAAAGAGGGCCGCGATGCAGGGGCACGCATAGGGTCGTCATGGCTAAGAGGAAAAAGTGAGGTGTTGATGGGTTGAGTGACGTGGCGTGGCACCGCGGGTCCGGAAAGCAGCCACTAAGCGACTGATTCATGAGGGCCGACCCGGGTTTGGTCGTACCTGCCACTACCTGCGGCGACGTGGGACATTCACAAAGAAGCATCCTGCTGACCCCACCACCAAAACCCTTGGTACAACGAAGCCGTCGCATAGCATAGCGGTATGGAGGGGCCTCCGGTGTCATCGACTTTAGTCGCAGCTCCAGATCGCGATGCTGCGACTAACCTTCCTCGCTGTCCAATCTACGAGGGAGGCCATTGGTGACGTGCATCCAGTCGACGATAGGTGGGATTGATTATGCAGCGGTTATCGAGGCTTCCTGAAAAGACGAGAGGCAGTGGAAGGGTAAGGAAGATTACCCAGAATGGCGGGCGAATCTATTGTCAGTACGTGTTCGCAGCTCAATGCTCAATGCCCCAATCAACGTAGATGAGTTGATTACCGCGCTGCAAGCGAGCATGTCGTCAGATGCGCTCATGTAAGCAGTTCTGGATTCATCTAGCCTGAGGATGAGTTTGGGTCACGTGAGTAGGATCATCTATGAATGGACGAATCTGAAGCTCTCTCTCGGATTTACTTGGCAGGCAGTCTCATTCGACGGATGCTCGAAGCGTCCTATCAACTCATCTAAGGAAAGCGCTAAACAGGTCTAAAGACTACTTTGTACACTGGGATAGAAGAACGGGATCAGAGGACTTGGAGCCGATGTAGGGTATTCATTTCTCTTGATTGAGCTGTTACCAACAAGTCGCCTATGATGAATTCCATAATACCATTTCGAGGCCGAAATGAGTCTAGCTGCGAGCGCCATGTTCTCTGATCTACTACACTCATCACGTGCCCATCTCAATTGAGCACAGCTACCGCACCACCATACACCCCCCTAACGATCAAGAAATCTCTCACCATTTTCCCAATCGACATACACCCACCGCGCCCACGAACTCCTTCTTCATCTATCCCCATAGCCGCCATCCATTCCCGATTCACCTCTTGATCCCTCTTGCATTTTTCGCACTCACGCCTCTTCCCCTTGTGTTTCTTATGAAATTTGTGCGGTATCGTCGTGACATGCACATCCGTTTTCGACCACACTCTCTCCAGCGTGTGCCAAGTAGTAAGATTCATTGTAGGCGGCGAAGTGGGTGATGCGGATGTAAGCGTAACAGTAGGTGTGCTTTCGAAATAGTCGCTGTTACTCAGCACTATCGTGGGAGGGTTTTGCCTTTCATGAGACGGCTTTGCTTCCTCTAGTGGTGTGTAGAGTCTTTTTGGGTTGAGCACATTCATCCAGTCGAGTGTTTCGCGCCATTCTTGTGTGAGTTCGGAGCCGCAGCTCTTCCATGTCTTTTTTAGTGTTGAGGCGCTGATGGTGGGCATGGACCATCGTTGTTTTGCCGTGATTGGGGTGGGCAAGTGGGTTGTAGCCGGCGATGGTGAAGACGGTGGACAGCAGACCAGACAGTCGGCTTGGTCTTGCGCGTCGGCATAGGCGCAGGCCCAACATTGGGTACTGTTGGTTGACATGGCTTTGGCTTTGATGCGGTGTCTTTCGAAAGGGGAATTTTTGGAAGGAGGACTGACGGCTTTTGTTGATTGCAGGCGAGTGAAATATGACTAGAGAGACTGGATACCCAAGAGAAAATGAAGAAGACTACCATGACTCAAATATTCTGTTCTGTAAAAGAAATGGCTTTCCAAGTGTTGTGAGTCGCTGAAGTTGGTTGACAAACCATGGTTCTAACACGATGTGTGACCAAGCACAACGTGGGCTCAAGGCAACCATTTGGCCGCAGCTAGCAAACTACATCTTAGTCTATGAACACGGTGAACATTCACCCAAGGGTGTTTTGAGAGAAGGATGTGCGTGAAATCATGACGTGCCTGCCCTCGCTGCCTTGGCTCTTTCCTCATCGCGCTCATGGCGCGCTTTCATGACTCACGCTACTCGAGATGAGAAGGCGTACCACTAGCCAGCCTAAGAAGCAGTGCTATCAGTGTTCTTTCGAAAGCCTAATGAGGATGTTGTCTCGCACGTATACTGTAAGAGATATTAGATTTACTTATATGTGGACCTTGAATCCGCTATGTCGCCGCGAAAGTGGGTATCGTTCATCAGTCATAATCGTAAAAGAAGCATGCGTCTCGAGTTCAAAGTAGCACCCAGTCCACAGCTACAGTCCACTTCTCCCCGCCAACGTCCACGTCCCACATGGGTGCGCGGATACCGATAACACTGCCAGTCTTTACCAGCACACCTCCCGAGCTTCTAGCACCACCTTGGCCGGCTAGCAAGACTCTCATGGGGGTATGTCCTCCATCCACACTCTCCGTTCTCGAAGCGTTATACATGCCAGCCTCAGTATCGCCGCATGCAAAGACGACGCCACCTGCATAGCACTCTACTTCTTCTGCGCTACGGCTTCGACCCCCGCCTCTCGAGAGATTCGAGACCCGTATCCGCAGCTTAACGCCGTCTTCTCTGTCACGACCAGTGGCTGCACCACTCCTATCCTGTGCCGCGAACCCTGTATTTGCCGTCTCGATCATCCAGGTTGTGACGGTCGAGGCAAGACCGTTAGGTATGTATTTGCCGTTCTTTCGTGAAGGAGAGAAGATCTCAGGCAGCGGTCGAGAAGGCTTCGGGGGCGAGGTCGGGAGCGCGGGGAGTATGAAATGGGGACGTTGCGGTGCACTCGCTGGCGTGGAAGTCACCGCTGCGATGCTAGGGAATGGCGCAGGCGTCCGTGGCGGCGGGACTTTGAAGCGGTGCGTGGTCGCATTGGATACGGGGGCCGGTGTGGACGGCTCGGATGGTCGTTGGAGCGATGGCGAGCTTGCAGGGGACATGCGACGACGCTTGTTCGTTTGGACGGATTCAAAGAGCATATCGTCTTCTTGGTCTTCTCCTTGTCTGTCCCAGCGGCCAAGCTGCGTGTCCCCGCCTTCGATGGATTGCATAACATGTTCGCCGTGTAGTTCATCCTGCGCCTCTGATTGGCTTGATTGCGATGGTTCTTCTATACTTTCTACTCTCTCGAATTTCCTCCGTAGCTTCGGGAGTGGTGTAGCATGCGCGAATGCATCTTCTTGCGGCTCATCGTGCCTCTCCTTGGTGACTTCTTGCGTCTGCCGAGGCGGCGCAAAGACAAAGCGCTTCGCAGGCGTCAATTTCTTGAATTGCAGCTCGTGCTTTGGTTGAGTCTTCTTTGCGGAAGCCGGTGTCTGTATAGCGAGGGCATTGCGCAGGCCAGATTGAGGTTTCTTGGCCTTCTGTGTTGAAGGCGGATTCGGCGCTAGGAAGCGGTGCGGGGAAGGCGTATGGGTCGGCATCGTATGAGCAACATCGGCGCGTGCGGTGTGTTCGATATGGCGGGAAGGTGGTGTTCGGCGCAATTTGTTGTGGGTGGAGGCATGGTCAAGGTGGCGAGGCCGTCAACGTCGAGGCCATGGCAAGCGCGATGCAGTCGCGAAAACGCGGGGGCGCATGTTCAGCAGGCTGCGCGTTTGGCAATCACGTCACGTGTCTAGAACTTCACCCTTGCCTATCGCAATGGACTCCTCCCTTGTAGCAAGCCCCTATTCTGGTTCGACGGGCAGTATATCGCGCCGCCCAGAAGTTACTGTTCAGTCATCGAACCCGACGCAATTCTCTCCACATCTACTTTAGAGTGGCTCCCGAAGCCAGACTACCATAGACATATCCCTGACAAAACTCATTAAGTACTCATCATCTTACTAGCTACACGAACTGTATTACAGGTTACATCGTCTGAAAGCTGAATTTTGCAACAACTCAACAGGTCCGCACCGGCTCACATGTCATGATCTCAACGACCTCATAGATCCAGCCTCGGGAATCTCTAGATAAGCTTTACCGAGCTTAGATGCCTTCCGCATGTCAATTCTTGCGCGAAGGATCTATTACAACCAAGCTCTATGTATATCATCCCACGCGCAATCTCCACAATAGTGACAACTGCCGCATGTTTTCTGATACCGGACGAATCGGGGTGCTGGCATTGGGCGTCAATTGGATTCGGCGATACCAGCCATCTTTCGCAGACCTGCGTTGGGTCTGTGGGATCGCAATGGGGTGATCTCGCGATTGGCGCCGGCCCGGGGATGATCAACGGTATCCCAGCTTACCCTCGTCTCCATAGGAACATCCGCCAAACTCAACGCAGATGTATCGAATGGAAGCATGGACTGCGCGTAGCACAATGGGAGCGCATGGAACAACCAGGCTTAAAGATGAGCGACATATCAGCAGACGTGCATTTTCTGGAGATGCATGGTTGAGCGTGGAGGGCATCTAGTCTGACAGGTCGGATCGCGACAAGGCGACGCAGGGTAGGGTGATAACAACCGGACGAAGTGCAATAGAATGCATGCAATACGAGGGTATACGCATCACAGATCCGGTCTACGCGTGTCCGTATGCAGGAGGGCCCGTCACAGCCGAGACGCGTCGTGGTGAGTGAGGCGAAGAGTGCACTCGGCGACCCAGCCACAGGATATGACATAGGCCCAAAGGAGTGCAAACAATAGCGCGACAGGCGTTCGCAGCAGAATGGAGCTAAACAAGAAACTTGAGACTTCGCGTCTGCAAGGGACGACCCTCTCAGCCTTAATGATCTGACCGGGGAAAGGCGTGGTAGGTCCACATGGTGGCTCAGGGCATGTGATTGGTGCTTGCGGGGGCCAGAGAGGCTGGAACCAGCCACATGAGGATGCGTAACATAGGAATAGAACAACACCCGCCGAACCCGATCCACCCAAACACGCTTGCTAGCACGCCAAACCTCTCTTTCTGCACCGTCGCTCTTTTGTTTTGGCTTTTCTCATTCTTTCGCTGTGACTCCACCCACTCTGTCCTGCCATTGCAGCGAATGCGCCTTATCTCCGCCAACGACGCTGCACTCGCGGCCACCCACCACCGTACACTCTCGCTCGACGCGCCTGCCCTCCCCGAGTCCCGCACCCGGGCGACTCCCTCAGCATGGCGACCAAGGCCATGAACGTCCCCAGCTTCGGCGGCGCTCACGCTGCGGGCATCTTCTCCGACATGACGGTCGACGGGCCGGTAATAGGCACCCTGGTTGTCATCATGGACCGCGCCCGCAACCTGCCTAACAAGAGGACCATGGGCAAGCAGGACCCGTACTGCGCTGCCCGGTTAGGCAAGGAAGCAAAAAAGACAAAGACCGACAAGCGCGGCGGCCAGACACCGCGATGGTATGTATGACTTCGACGAGTTTCGAACACCCACGACTGACATATGCAGGGACCAGGAATTGCGCTTCACCGTCCACGACTCGCCCGACTACAACCGCCTCAAGGTCTCCGTCTTCAATGACGACAAGAAGACGGAGCTGATTGGCGAGGCCTTTGCAAACCTCAACTCCGTCATCACCCCCGGCGGAGGCCAGAGCGACGAGTGGCTGGGCCTCAATTGCAAGGGCAAGTACGCTGGCGAGATCCGCATGGAGATCACCTACTACGACACCCGCGAGAAGAGCGAGAAGCCGGTTCTGCAGAAGAGGAGGGAGTCGACCAAGCCCGAAGGACAGGCTGCTGTGGGTGGAGCGCGAGAGATGGCACCCGTTAAGCGGCGCCCGCTGCCCAGCGACCCCACAGGCTCGACGCCATCACCAGTACACACACCAGAGCACCGAGGACTGCGGGGCGTTAGGGCTGGCCCGCGAGAATTGGGCTCCCCGCGACACCAAAGAACAGCAACCGAGCCGTCACCAACACAGCGCAGCCCGGCCGACACGCCCTCCCGCAGGCCTATACCAGACGCGTCCCCCCTAAACCCCGCATCGTCATCGAGCCAGAACACTCCTCAGCGCCCTGTACCGCAAACCTCCTACAGCACACCCCCGAACCCGCGCTCATCAGCCCAGAGGATGCTCCTACCAAGGGAAGAGAGCTTCGACATGTCTTACGCCGCGCCCAAGCCATACGAGGTGAAGCCGATCGATCCCCTGCCACAACATGTCCGGCACTCAGACCAGAGGAGGATGTCGCAGGAAGACGGTCGATCTCCTAGGAGCCAGGCACTGCAGCACCCCGAGCCAGTACATTCCCACTCGGCACCCATTGTGCCAACGCAGCATGCGTATGAGTCTCCGGCGCAATCGCAGAGACTGCAGGAGCAGCAGAAGCAGATCGAGTTCCTGCAGCAACAGCTACTCCAGCATCAGCAGTTTGAGCCTCAACGAATTGAGCCCCCGCCGCAGCCAACTCAGTCATACGCACAAGACCAGTACCAGGATCCGACTTATCAGGTTGCACCCCTGCGTAGCAGTCGTAGCCGCGAGCAAGCCCAGGAAGCTCCTCCACTCGACCAATACTACGGCCAACGATTCATCGAGGCTCCTCCTCTACAAGATGAGAGCCCCACGCATCGGAGACGCAGCGCTATGCAGCCCATGGTCGAAGATGAGGACGACATGCCACCGCCGCCCCCAATGCATAAGCGCAATGCCAGCACATTACCTCACCCGAACCAAGAGAGCCCTGAGCGTGAGCGCTACCGCGAAGAAGCCCCCGCGCCCCTGAGCTTCTCGGGGAGATCGCGTGAGGAGCCCCGTCATCTCAGCTATGATATGCCACCCCAGCAATACGAATCCGACAGCTACGCGCCTCGACAACCCGCGGAGCGACGCTACACTCATCCTCGCATGCCGGCGCAGCCATCGAGTCGTCCAGTGTCTCGCGACAACATGGTGCCATCCCCGCTACGACATGAACCCCTGCGACAGGAAGCACCGGCATTACCGAGTGCACTCATCGCTGGACTCAACCCACAAAGACAGGAGATTGAAGCGCCACCTTACGAAGCGCCCCCATCGTATGAGACACCACCGAGACTGCGCCACTACTCTGAGCCTGCAGAGTATCGGGCCATCACTCAGTACGAAGACCCCGTTCAGTCGCAGGAACTGGTTCATCATTCCGCATACCAAATGAACGACTATTATCCCCATGACCCGCCTGAGCAGCCTCGACAGATGTCTCCCCCAGTTTACGATGCCGGCCCGATCATCAAGCCGCGTGCTACGAGCCCTAACGTGAGCTCACGCTACTCTCCCAACCCAGCAATGGACCGTTACTCGCCCAACCCTGAGATGGAACGACACTCTCCTAACCCGGCTACCGATCGCTCGTCTAGGTTGCCTGCGAGAAGTATGCCGACGCGTAAATCAGTATCACCTCGCCCACCGCCTTCCAGAGAAGATATGGGTGAGCGAAGGCTGTCTGGAGTAGCATTCGGCCCCGACAGTTTCGATGTCTACAACCCTCGGATGAGCAAGTCTCCCATACCTTCGGACGACGAGCTCGAGCGACCAGGAAGCCGGATGGAGTACAACGACAAGGGTCAGATTGTTACATTCAGCGGAAGGGTTGTCGATGCGTCTGACCATCTACCTGTCGACAACTGGGCGCCTGAGCCAGTACCAAAGGGTACAGTGAAGGAGAAGGCTCCTCGCACAAGAGCTCAGCTTAACGGCAGCAGAGACCTCGAGGCCGCGATGCAACGCGAGGAACGATACCAACGAGAGCGTGCCGACAGAGAACGCATTCGCCATGCAGCCAGCATGAACTTCGACAACAGCAACGCGCTAGTCACCACGAGACACGACTTCAATAACGACTACAACCAGCCTGTGAACGCAGGTGCGCTGGTCCTCGCAAGCCAGAGCCAGCACAACGCACCTCCCAACCCAACAGCACGCAGCAGGCCCACAAGGCGCGACCAACGCCCCGTATCCGCCTACGACACACCACCGCAGTACCAACTCCCAGACCGACAGGTCCTCCGCGAACGCGACAACCCCAACAGCTACGGCAGCAGCCCCAGCTACGACCGACGTGGTACCCAGAGGCATAGTGTCGCGGCACCGCCTATACCCGCAAAGGTACCCATGGACATGAACGGCGGTGGTTACGGTACCCAGAACGAGGATATGGCACTCAGCTTAGAGCTGCAGAGCATTGACATCGGCCCTGGTTCTGGTGGACGTAGACCACGTGCCGCTACGGCTAGACGACAGTACGGATACTAATGGCACAACACGGAAACGCTTTACACCATACCCCTTTCACGCTTCTTGATGGCGCTTGTACGATAATGTTTTGTTCCTCGTGGTGGAAGCAGAGTTTTGACGTTCCTTTTCTCTTTCCCACACACTTCTTAGCTCGATGTCTGGACGCTGGAGCCTGGCATGTCGGAGTACTTTTTCTTTTTCTTCACTCTTGTTTACCTGATATTATAGGATATCGTGCATAGCACTTGGCTTGCGTAAATTGTGTTTCTTCATACGCCCTCGTGCGCCTTACCTTACAATTTCCTTGGACCAAACATAAGAATTGATGCCACCCTTTGAGAATTCGAATGCATCTCATATTCCAACAGTCGTCATCCCCTGTTCAGATCTCCTCATGAATGAATTTGCTAGATCGATCAAAGACTTCACATGCTTAAAGGGACGTGAAACTAGGATATGTAGTACATTTTCCCGGTAAAATGACTTAATGAGTGTCAGGTAATGAAAAACAGGTGTAGCTCTGATGCATGAGCTTTGGCATGTCAAATACCAGTCCCGAACCAGTCTGATGCCGCGGCAATCAACCCTTCTGGGCTGCTCCCTTTGGACGGTCCTTCCTCGCCCTTAGCTCGAGTTCAAGTTTTTCCAAAGCATCAAAATCCGTGTCTCCCGAGCACGTGACTACCTCGTCCAGACCGTGTCCTCCTTGCGAAGCCTGCCAAACCAACTTATCGTCGGCACCTACGGCCACTCCAAAAACTCCGTCAAGATGGTCTCCAAGTGGGTCCATGGTCGCGATAGTATCTACCCACGAACGTGTTAGTCGCTTCAGGATTTGGATTGAGAAAGTGCTTCGGGTCTCAAGTACTCTTGATAATGGCCATGGCTGCGCGAGCTTTGGGCGACAGGCTACATGCGTCGCCTATCCGCTTCGGATATAGCTCTTTAAACAACCAGTTTTTAGACTCGGTGCCTTCGGGAGCAACGATTTCTCCCTCAGATGCCATCTTGGGTGATTTGAGGTAGGGTTTTGATATCGGTTTGTATTCGGTGTTGTGTTTTGAACAAGGCTTTTGTTCGCGTTGAGAATGTGGTTGTTATGGCCCATTGAGTACAATGGCCTTGTCTCATTATATATTGTGGTTGACTCAAGTTACTGTCATGATAATTGGATGAGTCGGTGCTGAATGACGCGAGCTTGTGACTGTTAGTTGGGGAGTGTAAGTCATATAGGACTCAATCCAAAAGCAAGGACGCATGACGGTCAGGAACGATGTGTCTACCAACGCATCTTCACGAATGAACTTGTATTCTCAGACAATTGCTGCGGCTGTAACTCGCTGACCTCTCTGACCTCTTGTCGCACATGGCTCCCTGCTCCAATGCCACTCCGTGTCTTCCTACGATCTTCTTTCTTATTTTTCCACCGGGGCGCTTCTGACCTCTCAATTACACAAATAAAAAAACGCCGCTATCTCAGAAACAGGATTGTTCTCTCACACTATATCTATTAGCTATTGGGATGAAAGGCGGTGACTAACACGCTATGACTGTGTACCGCACTGGCCAGAGTGCGTCGGTACTCTTGCAGACTCAGACCCATCGGTGACGGATACCTTTGAGTCCTACATGACTTTGTAATGCTGACTTGTATACACGGTCGTCGAAGGTGGAAGACTCATACTTCATGGATACAAAAGTCCATACGCGCTGTTAAGTAACGGAGACAATCATCCTCACTACACCCTTCTTCATCATTCATACCATCACTTCATAGCATAACCATCGTCTACGCATAAATTCAACCCGACTCTTGTTTGCTGGAGCGAGCAGGCACGAACACAGACAGGTTGAGCCATATCATGGCTTCACAGACGCATTCACTCGCCGAGCACCGCTCGGGATCAGTTGCCAAACTAGAAGACGATGAAGACAAGCTTGTCGAAAACCTCAAACGTGTGTGATTCAGAAAGCCTACCACCCTCGCTGAGGAGCTTACATGATGATAGCCAAGCTAAAGGAAGCCTTACCCGAGTACAAAGACAAAGATCTGGACTACTACATATGGTTTACCCGACTTCCCAACGAAAAGGGTGTGATAACTTATTGCAAGATTGAAATCGGCAGCAAAGGGGAGAAGATGGTCCTTGGGGGAGACAGTGATAATGCCCAGGAGGCTTTGAAGGAAATGGAGTACGCATTGGGCAAGGGCTACGTGAAACCGTTGAAGGGTTGAATATAAGATTTTGTTGTCGAATGTGAGGGTGGCGCACGTGATCAGGGTAGATTTGCTCTGGGTGGATCTAACTGTCTTCATCGTACTCCGTTGTGCGGACGACGGGAAATGCACTTATTCATGCTATTCAAGTCCAATATATATTTTGATTCTGTCTTTCGGAATAGGGATAGTAACTGGTACGAACACATTTTCGAATCAATCACCCCAATGACCGCATTGTGGGCATCTCCGCAAGAGCCTTAGCCTTTCCTTCATTGCCATGATGACAAACCGTGTGAGAAGGTCTCTCAACGCCTTCTTCGCGCTCATTGCGGCCTTACTTCACATCTCGAGCTGCATCTCAACCACGAGCACAACTCAGTTATTATGTCAAGTCCCTGAAACACATTCGACGTAGACAAAGCAGGACAAAAATTCCTCAATTCAATAGAATGCACTTCCGTCTAGTACTCCCAGGATGGTTCGAAGCCGAACTCCGATGTGATTGTCAGCACTAGTCAATAGAATAGATAGTAGTTGTAACCGTGTGATTATTTGCAACTAGCACTTCCAAATCCTTGTCCTGTATATCTTGACTAGCTATCCAAGTCGCATATGTGCCCATATACTCAGACCTTATCAACAAGGCTATCACATCATACCTTGCCTGCCTTCTTGATCTGCAGTTGTCGCTCCACCCCTTGCAGCGTTTTTTCCACTGCATCTTCCAGTAGCGTGAATTCCCCCATGAGCCAGTCAACTTTCCCGTTGGACTTCTTCCCCATCTTGGTTGCAATCTCATACTTCGTCCCTAGCGGCTTGATCTCCTCGCCAGTGTCAGGGTACTCCCTGCGAGTGATCCTGATTCTTTCATAAGGTCGCTTGTCGTCGTACTTGGGATCAATATTCTTCATCAATTCTGTACCACATTTCTGCGTTAGCGTTGCTACCTGAGTATGTACATTCGTATCTGAGTCGAGATAGGATTGGTATACCGTTTATGCGAATAAGCTTCTTTCCAACATGTTCGTAATCAGACCGATTGGGGTTCACAAGCTCTTCCAGGTTTACTATGGATTCTTTGAGTCCCTTGCAAGACTTCTGATCGTTGTGGAGGGGTATGCCACCGTCGCTGTCGTTGTCGATCTCGCGCATGCTTGTTACTAGAGTGATGAATTGCGAAACTATCGCCTGGATATTTGAATGAAGAATATTCCAGTTTTGTGTAAGAGATTGTGATGAACTGCAACTCTGGTGCTACGATAGGTACCTGTTTCTTTATACAGTACAAGAGTCACTGTCTAGGACAGTCGGGTCATCACGCTGACGCCGGAACGTAGATGAGTAACTTTTGATGATGACATTTTTGCACAGTCATCTACATTCATTGCTCATGCGCCAACCAAGAGACTGCTTTATCTGTCAGTTTCCTCTCCTTGTACAGTTTCTGCGTCCGTAGATACGTCATATAAAATAAACCTGATGGCTTTAGGCATGATTTCACACATCAACTTCGTCAATCCAAGCTGGCGCAACGGAGATACAGTCACCAGGAATACACATCTCGTGATGGGGTACGTATAATGCCTTCCATTTATCCTAATGCGAATCATGCTACTGAACACCCTGCCCTTATTACCAAAACTATCATGACTTCCTTCGAGCGACTAGCCTGAGTAACTTTCTTCGCCAGATCTTCGTACAGCCCACTTCATTTACGGATGATGCCGCCCTCCCACCCCTCTCGTCGACTCTAGATTCCAGGTTCTTCAAAGCCTTCGAAGCGTCTGTATAAGGCTGGCTCCACATCTCCTCCTTCGGTTTCTTCCTATCACCGCCTGCTACGAGAAGTAAAGCTACCACCTCTTTTTCTTTACCTTCAGGAGCAGCTTCTTCCCGCCAACGAATATAGATATACAGGCCGTTGTGCTTGCTCGGATCGAGGGCTTTGAATTTGTCTGCTCATAGAAAGGACTTTGTCAACACATGTGAGTGAAGAAAGGTTGGGAAGCGGGACTTTACCTTTGATGCGAGTACAAAGTTCGCGCTCCGACGAGTGCAGGCTCTCAGGTATATAGTAACCCTGAAGTCTATCGTACTTTTCGATAGCGACGTTGATCTTTACTCTGTCATCGTCAAGGGATTGACGTCCCGAGGTTGGGTCGCACAACACTGCTCGCTGGGGAAGGGGAAATCGATCGCCATATGTGCGATGGATCTCTGGTTGCTTGGAAGGATGTGATGAATGCTTGATTTCGTCCTCCACCGCCCGTGTTGCTGCTTTTTTAGCGGCTGTGGCTGGAGTGAATGCCTCGTGCATCTTCAGCAGGTCGGTGTGTCGTTCGATTTGCGGTAAATGTATGCGATGTCATCGGCATCGCAATGTACCACGGCATTGGATGCAATTTGTACCCAAATTCAGTATGAGCCATATCTTGTAATGACTCTTGGGGCTGTTCAGTATGTACATGACTTACAAACTTCGTGAAATGTAATGGTGGCAACTTCTTTGGAAATTCTTGAGTAATCTAATAGTCATCATTTAGTGAGTTGAAATAAGATACCTGGAGTGACGAGTGTCTCAACGTTCGTAGACCCAGCATAATAAGTTCAGACCTTCGCCATGTCTGGTCTGGCCAGTCATCCTTTTCCAAATCGGGACCAACAAGCCAGTCCTATCCCGGACGTCTTCGTCCTCCATGATAGCTCCTTCCACATGTTGGATCGCTTCAGTTCAGCTGCGTCTTGTCGAATGAACGTTCCAAGCTGCCTCAATGCCTTCTCCCTCGTCTTCTCGTATGAACTCTCGCTCTTCGTATCATCTCTTGGGATTGGGAAGTCTCCGGGTCCCAGTACAAGCGCGGCTTTTACTGGCGGGTGGGATGTATCGCGTGGATCGGTAAAAAACTCGATATAGATGGGTCGATCCTCGCACTCTTTACGGAAACAGCGCCGGTAGTAATCTTCCGTTTCGTCAGCGGGTACTAGGAACACTTGACAGTGGCTGCAAACCTTTTATGAGGCTTTCCAGCCTTCTTTCTCGCTTTGTTAGGGAATCGGATGGAGACTTGTTGTCCTCGTCGTTGATTCGAGTGAATTCGGAGCTTGTCTCCGCCCCGGAGGCTGCGGAAACACTCGACGCGTTACTCAAGCCCGTGCTAGCACCACGCTTTCCTCGCTCCGAGACAACTGGGCTAACGTCGCGTACACGACGCTTGAAGCGGCTGTTCGTGTGATGTTCTTGAACTTGAGGCGCCATATCAAGGATTCAGAGAAGGTGATTATTACGCCTAGAATGTAAAGTGATGTGATCTTATAGGCGCGATGTATCATCTTGCTGGTTGACTGTGCATGACCAAGCTCGACGAAATGACTCCGAACAACCTACTATGACTAGAGAGAGCACACAAAGAGAACTAAATAGATGTGTTGGAAATCACCGTACTACAGTGTGAATTATTGTCATCGCGTTGATGACGTAGAGAAATGACTCCGAGCTAGGGTATCTGTATGCGAAATGCTCAAGGAGGACTATGCTACACTGTGACTACCTCATCTTCATGACCAACTCGGCGTATTGTATTGACTCGTCGAGCCTCATTACATCGAGTTGACAAACAAGCCTACTCATACAAGCTTCGGTCGTTGGGGTCGTTCTTCGGTGGAGGGGGACCAGTGGCCGGTGCGGTAGGCTCTTGTTTTGCTGCATCGTCTGTCGTTGCCTCGCCCACGTTCACAGGTGGAATCTGCGGCGCTGCCTCAGCCACAGGTCGAGGTGGAAGTGGAGGTGACGGTCCCTCGGGTGAAGGGCTTCGAGGCGGTGCTTGTTCTGGCATTGTACCAACGTTCGGCGGGGCGCCATATGGCGTAGGGGTATGAGAGCCGTTTTGAAGAGCAGTATGCGCAGCCTGAGGGACCTGAGGTGCCATAGGAGAGACATTGCCCATCTGCTGCTGCGGTTGTGGGTAGCCCACTGCCGAAACGGGAGATTGAGACACGATTGGTCCAGCTTTGGTCATATCGCCGTAGTAGCCAGCTTGCTGAGGAGGCGGGTACGTGTACCCTTGAGGTGGGACGAAACCTCCGTTCGGTGACATGACCCAGCCCGGAGGCGGAGGGCCATAGTAGTAGACTTGACCAGGGACCATAGGCTGGGAGGCACCAGGTGTTTGTGCCATTGTCGGATGCAGCGGCTGACCGGGCGGTACAAAGCCGACGGTAGTCTTGCTGAACTGACCCAGCAACTCCTCAGGATATCTGTGGCGGAATCCCCACTTCCACCATGCCTTAAAAGCCGCTCCGCTACCCATGTTCTTCCATCTCTCAGCCAACATCTTCTGATCTTCAGCACTTCGGCGATCTTGCATACGAGTGAAGCAAAGTACCCAGAGCGACATGAGAATCCAACAGACCGTACCAAAACGCATGGCACTCTTACCGAGCATGAGGCGACGGAACCAGAACCAAGACTCGAGAAATCCAAGTAGGAAGAGCCCGGGGATTATGCATGCAATGATGATGATCCATGTAATCACACGAGATCTACAGTAATAGTAGTAGCAACTGTCGTATGAGCTGTCGCTGTCACTGTCGTCGTTGTCTGAGCTGTCGCGATTTGAGCCGCCAGACGACGAGGTGTGAGTGTTGTACGATCCTGGAGGTGTACTACAATCCGCCATATAGACAGAGTAGTAGTAGTCCGACGTTGACGTGAAAGGCGCCGCGCTCTCGGAAAGGTACCATGTCTCCCAAAGGTAAAGGGTGCCGGAGTAGGCAGTGGCAGAGGATGTTTCAATCGAAGCTGGTGAAAGTTGCGCAGTAACCTGAGTTGGGACGTATACAGAGGCGGATGTTGTTATAGTAACTACAGGCAGTCAAAGTCAGTGTCGAAGAGATTCGAAGAGAGAACGTAGTACTTACATGGTGTGGGGCATGAGGCAGGTGCCGTCATCGTGACTGGCATGCTGAATTCGATATCCTTGACTGTCTCGGTGGTCGTCGCCGTCGCCGAAGGGGAAGTCGCGTAGTAATCATACTCAGGCACAAGATCAGATTCGGCCACCGCACTAGTTGTGTAATACGCGTATACGACCTCAAGATTGTCGTAGTAGCCGAGGGCTGTGGAAGTTGAGTACGGTGCGATCGTAGGAGTGACTCCATCCTTTATAGTGCGGTACTCAGTGTAAGTGTCGGTAGTGACGGTGTCGTCATAATATGTGTACGGGCTTTGTGTGACAACCTCCACTTGAGCGTAAGTGTAGGTCCAGTACGCTGAAGTGTCACGAGTGGTAGTGTAATCATCCAAGAACTGCGCACTCGCAATGGCGGCATTAGCGACCGCTACGAGGGCGAATCGGGCAGCCATATTGCTATGCGCTGCGAAAGTAACGATCGTGGGTCGCGAAACGCGAAAATTAGGTATTAGTAAAGTTGTAGGGCTGTCTCTAGCCGTCAGGGCCACGCCCTCATCTTAAGCACCATCAAGCACCGCGCCGCCGACCCAGACAACTACATGGCTAGCTCACCGGTCGTGCAAAGCGTGCAGGCACATCTCGTTTCCCCTTAAGCGATTGATGCAGCCTTGCGCCTCTTCCAAGCTCCGTCTCTTTCAACCAATCATGCTGTTTTTGCCAAGCGAGTTAACCAATCCCGCGGAAGATCTAGACGTTTAGCGACATTGAGCCGTCTATCTTTGGGTCCATGCGGCTCGTTGCAGACTCATTTTCTGCAGGGGTAAACAGGGCGCCTGAAGGATTAAAGACCTTGCACTGCCCTTGCCTTTATTGAAAAGGTGACTCCGACTCTTACTGAGCATGATGAACTCGCCAACATGAATGTTTTGGCCATATAGATGCTGCAAAGGTCCTGGACGAGAGACAGACCAAGAAAGCCAACAATACGGCTTGTTAGTGATGGTTGCGCGATGCAGAGGGGTGGTTGCACAAGTCAGAATTCGTTTTGGTGGCGTTCTCGTACGACAAGTGCGACGTCTTGGCGACACCTGAACAGTCATCCTCGGCAATTTCGCATTGGGAGTCCCTTCCTATCACGTTCATCTCACAACCAGATATCACAGAATTATACGCTGCTTACGGTATCAATATTGAATAAAACTTCCGCGACTGCCTCCAGAGATATGGAGGATGTCACTGTCATGCTCACAGGTCTTCATGCCTCGATGCCCTGTCTCTTTTGTTGCCATCTCGAAAGCAACTCTGCTTTAGCTAACGAGTTGTCTAAGTTACAACGCATATTCAGCATGTTTCCGCCTTCTACAGCTACTCTGCCGCTGTAAGTCTCGCAACGTCCATTCGCTAGAGTACACCTTCGGTGCCGGACCGTAGTTGCATGCACGGCGCACCTTTCGCTTCGTCGAAGGGCACGTAACGATCGTCCGCCAGACTTTGGCCACGCCGGTTGATGTAACAAGTGCCATAGCTGTGTGAGGTCGCCGGAGATGTAGAGACCACCTAATCACTAGTAACTCCATGGCCAGTTTCTTGACTGTGCTTTTGCGACTGTTCATGAAGGCGTTGGAATGGCCCTGGTTGTGGCATACTTCGTCTTCAATTGTGACTCACGCTGAGTATAAAGTGGATGGCTGCGAATATACCTATTTGCGTTCGTTCTTCAGCAGACCTTGCTGGGAATTTACATCTCTTACCACTATACCAACTCGTACTGTTTTCCAATGTGGCAGTGCATCTGCACTATCTTTGCTGGGAGTGGAAGAACCGAGACAAGTTTCCACAAATGGAAATCCATCGATGCTTTGGGCCCTGAGTATGAGCGCACGAAGCAAGACATCATCGGTAACTACGCCCGTTACTGCCGTTACCCGGACTCTACTGACTAAAGCCTGTGTCGCAACGTAGATGTCTGGGACCCAAATTTGTCGGGGAACTCCCTCAATGCCTTCAAGGTGCTCGTCGAACGGGAATACGTGCACCGCTTTAGGGGAACCCAGAGATATCAAGCGCGTGTTGTATCTTCAGCTGGTGGAGAGCCACTTAGTGCTGCAGCAGTGGGCGATACAATTCCAGAAGCATTGAACAAGCTGTTGTTGGGGGTTCGGCAACTTCGAGGTCCACCACCGGGGTATCATTGCCCAGGTGATCTTTTAGTAAGATCGAGGGTTCAGTCTTGAATGTCTGTATCATCAGAGGGGTGATCGAACGGGGCTACTGCGCATCAACTAAGGTTTGCAAATAGCACGAGGGTGCACTGCAGTGCCAGTTGGCAGAATTCTCCAGGTCACCTAGGACGCGCGGATAGTCTCCATCGTTCATCGCGTTTGCGAAGCATTTGACATGTCTATATCAAAAATAACAACGGCAACCACCTCATACCCTTGCGTGAATGTTGCGCTTGTTACGGAAGTTCTACCCTGCTGGTGTGCAAAGTACCACTGTTCAATGAGAGGGGCCCGTTCGGGTTCGATGCGCCTTCAAAAGTGTCAAAGTCTGGAATGAACGATTTTGGCCGTCCGAGGCTAAATTTCGGTCTTGTTCGTAGTTTTGATTGAGGCGAGGAATTGATGTTGGTCTTGTGCGACATCGTGTTGGTGGCAGGACGGGGTAGTGCAAAGGCACACCGTTGTCACGCGCCCAGCCCAGGCCCCGCCGTGTCACCTAGGTAGCTCCGCGCCACTTCATTAACCACCAACACCAACACCAACACCAACAGTAGCTCGGAAGCTTGATGACAATCGCTTCGAAGCAGTCATGGGGTCAAAGTCTCCAGAAGATCATCGCCAAGGCCCAGACGGTGAGCGCGATGGATGCGATTCCGAGAACACCTATGCTGACAGCTGACAGGGTCGTCGGCGGACGCTGCAATCGCTATCATCAACCCTCCCAAGCCAGCAGCCGCTAGCGGACTGCTTCCAGGCGTACTCGAAGGGCAGGATGAAGACGGAGACGACGACGATGATATCGCGAAGCTTGGAGCTGACGTGAAGAACAACGATGGTGAGCTGGGATCACGTGACTTTAATCTAACCCGTGGACGCTGACAATCGGAAGGCGCGAAGAAGAAAAGAAAGCGCAACAAGAAAAAGAGTAAAAAGGTGTCACCGACACAGCAGACAGCGCCCCCGAGGGTGCCGCTAGCCGATCTGTACCAGGGCCAAAAATACCCGCAAGGTCAGACTGTCGAGTATGCCATCAAGGATGAGAACCTTCAGCGTACCACGGCTGGAGAGCTTCGTCATCTGGCCGCTGTGGACAACATGGATGAAGACTTCCTTGAGGACTATCGCAAGGCTGCTGAAGTCCACCGTCAAGTGCGCCAGTACGTACAGACTATCGCGAAGCCCGGCGCGTCTCTCACCCGCATCGCCGAAGAGATTGACGACAGTGTTCGTACGCTTGTTGGCCACCAGGGTCTTGAGACTGGAGATGGTCTCAAAGCTGGCCTCGCCTTTCCAACAGGCTTATGCTTGAACAACATCGGCGCACATTGGACTCCTAATGCGGGAGCGAAGGAATTGTTCCTTCAAAACGACGACGTCCTCAAGGTCGATTTCGGCGTGCATGTTAACGGCAGGATCGTGGATAGCGCTTTCACTGTGGCTGCCAATCCGATGTATGACAACCTACTGGCTTCTGTCAAGGCAGCTACCAATACAGGCTTGAAAGAAGCAGGCATCGACGCAAGGATCGATCACATTAGTGAGATGATTCAAGAGGTCATGGAAAGTTACGAAGTCGAGCTCAAAGGGAAGACCATTCCCGTGAAGGCGGTGCGTAACATCACCGGCCACAACATCCTACGTTACCGTATCCATGGCGACAAGCAAGTTCCCTTTATCAAGACCAAGACTTCTCAACGCATGGAGGAAGGCGAAATCTTCGCGATCGAAACCTTCGGTAGCACCGGCAAAGCGTATCTTCATGACGATGTTGGCGTATACGGCTACGGACGCAACGAGGGCGTCAGCGCTGCCGGCCTCCATCATTCGTCCGCGAGATCGCTATTGAAGACCATCGACGAGAACTTTGGGACTCTGGTCTTTGCTCGCCGTCAGCTTGAACGTTTGCCGCGTGTGGAGAAATACCACCTCGGTATGCGAACGCTGGTGAACAGTGGGATCGTCCAGGCATATGCGCCGCTGGTGGATATCCCAGGGTCATTCATTGCGCAGTTTGAGCATGTAAGTTATTGCCCGTGGGAATCAGAAGGTTATGACTGACTCGATACCTCACAGACTGTTTTGCTCAGGCCCAATTGCAAAGAGGTTGTCTCTCGGGGTGACGACTACTAAACAACAACGCTTCACTGAGTTATACTAGACTTCAACAGTCGGCATAAGAGTTTTCAGATAAGACGTTTCAACACGTCTCGGGCTCTGTTCTCCTACATGATTAGCGACACGCACCACACTCCTTTATTACCTAAAAAAATCACAATCTGCTTCTGCGCACAATGTTTGTTCCAGCGCAGACCAAGTAGCACGCCCTTATTATCACGAAACTTCTAGGAAGGCTATACAGTGATCTCTCACTCACACTTGCTCTCTGGTTGCTTCCTCACTTATGGTTATATGCATCTGATCGAACCACCGTGTAATATTGTGACTACAATTGATCACCCTCGCATGAGGTTGACAGAGTGGGTATGTAGGTTATGAACATTTCATCTGGGGACCAACGAGTTGTTGTGTGGCACTCACTTCCCGCGCATGAGTCAATACAGTGACTACTCGTTGAGTCACTACCAATACAAAAGAGGAATCTGTTCAATCACACACTTGTACACCATCATGTCCTTTCTGAAACCTTCCTCCAGACAACAAGCTGCCGCTGCTGATTACATTTCTCGCACAATGCCCAGAAGAGACCAAGAGCCAATCCCACAAACACCAGACTCCTCTGATGACGAGAATGAGCGACAAGCGGCAGAACCCACATTCGTTTTTGAATATCGCCTTACCAATATCGAGCGTGTTCTGAAGTCACGAACCGGACTCTTCAGAACTTTCCGAGGCTGCTTGATCGCCTTTTGGTACCGCAAACAAGTCAAGGCACTTGTGGCTTTGTTGGATGGATTGGGTAAGTTGATGACACAATTTGATAAGCTGTTCAGCCCATAGTCATTAACGTAATAGCTATAGAGAGTCGAAACAACTGGGCGGGTATCAAAAGATACATTCGTTTGAGATTCACGGTGACAGAGAAAACGCAGGGCGGCACAGTCTTTCTGATTCGAGAAGTGAACGGCAAAGACGAGGACGTTAAGAAGCATGACACTCCGTGCTATGTAAACAAGCAGTTTTTGGAGCGCCTTCGGCCTATGGTAGTCGTATAGAGTTACTTCTACATGCCATTGTTCTTATTGGCTTTGCAAGTCATACTTCCAAGTGCGCAGGCCACCAAGAGTGACTCTTACAATTTGTTCTTGTGTATCTACGTGTATTTGGTCTGACTCTGCTTTCTAGCTCTCGATGACTGTGAGTAGGTAAAGTCACGGGTGACGCAAGAGACGATGTCTCTTTCGATGAAGATATTCGAGTCCTCTTAAACACTGCCACGATAAAAGGAATCCATAGTTTTCCCTCGAACGAAGCACCAAATCATGAAATGCTACCCCGCCATTACACGCTTCCGGCAGAAGGATAACAAGACACCCAAAGCGAATGAACCCATTCGCTTCGAAGTCAAACTCTCAGTGCTTCAACATTCCGTAGACTCGCACACTTCCAAAGAGGGCGTTTCTCCAAATTTGTCTGCAGCGCATATGGATGAACTGAGAGAACGCTTGAAATACTTGAGTAAGCATCTGGTCGCAAAGAAGGCCTAGGAACTATGGACACTAAGACTAACGCTGCTAGCGAACAACACTACTGAGATCAAATGGTTCGGGAAGAACCGACTCATCGTCCGGTTCGAAAAGATTAGAGAGAACGAATATCCCACGCTGGGCATCGTCCGGCCAGACTTTTGACTGTCCAGGAGGATGCAGCTACGACAAGGAGGCTTCCCTTGCAAACTCAGCATGGAAGTCGTCAAAGAAATCGAAAGAGAGATTCAGAATTGGAAGAGCTCCAATAAATTATAGTAGGAACGAGCAGCTACTCAATCAGCGTCCTCTAACGTCTGACTAGGTACATGCAAACTGACGTGGGTGGACTGTACTTGGGAAGGTGGTCGAGGAATTGGATGAGACTACATTCTGATCGTTGAATAGGTATCAGAAGCAAATAAGACATGGTGTTCATAAGACGGCAGTCCTTCGTGATAGAATCATTCATAAATGGGAACGTGTATATCACTGTTTATACCAAGGCGTGCCCTATATTATATGTCACCCTATTCGAAAGACTATGTGCATCTGTAAAGGGATCATACATTCCGAAGTTGACTCACGTGTGACTTGACCGACAAGATGTTGACTGGCAATGAAGACTCACAGTTGGATATAAATTCAATCACTTCCTCATCAGAATAACTCCACAAACACCACCAACACTACCTACTATCGCTGTCTACGACTTCTTATCCATACTTATCATTCAAACTATCGAACGTCCACCATGCCGGGTAGAACCTCAAATTACACTCCTGCAGAGGGCGATGAGCGCCAAGTAGCGGAACGGCAGGAAACCCCTGGAGAATATACAGAAGAAGAGCTGATCACCAAGGAGAGCCTCATAGGCAAGTACCCAAAGATCCAGTCGTGATGTCAGGGATTCGCGGACATTGGCACAAGCATGCTAATGCTTGATTAGAGAAGGTCCTCATGATCTTCGCAGCTGAAGGCGTCGAATGCGGGGAAGAGGACCTCAAATTCACGCTTGGGCCCAACTCGAGAGGACCTGGATACAACGCTTACATCGGTCTAGCGGAAGACAATACGATGAACTTTATCGGGAGAGGGCGATACGAGAGCGATGCACTTGAGGCTTTGGATGATGTACTCAACCAAAGGTTGGACGAGGCCAGACGACGTTTGGAATAGAGAATTGAGGGAGAATTGAGGGAGTGAAGTCTGACTAAGCCAAAATGTCGATGGAGCTGAGTCGTCATATGATGTGGACAGCTCAGCAGTCTTGACTGAGAGGTAGAGAGACGTGTTGCGCCTCAACCAAACAATACATCCCTGTCTCTTCATGATAAAACAGAACACCTCGCATGAGCAAAGACCACAAGAGTTTGACGAGGATGTGTGAATCATTACGAACTACCATGAACAGAACTATGCTGACTATAAAAACGCTGGGCACATGAAAGCGGGACAGTGACTCCGCGCGATGGAATGAGATGTAATACAGACTGCTGTGAGATGTCGTTTAACCAAAGACCAACGCCCTAACCTCAATACTTTCCCTACCAACCGCACCCTCTGGTGTCCTTGGGTCCACGAAGGCCGTGTGCGGTACACGTCCCCACTGACCTACATTCTCATCGCTATCGAAGCACTTCAACAGCAAACGATCCTCATTCGTCATGCCAGACCAATAGTACCACTTCTGCCCCGGGTTATACGCCACAGCCGCCGTCTGCCCGTTGCGGTCAGGGTAGCGATGTTCAATAGGTATCAAATCGCCGTCGCGCACTGTCTGGCTATCGGCAACCGCCAGTGGGCTGCCCATAACGGGTCCATTGAGCGGCCGCCATACATTGATGATGCGGTACCGTCCTTGTAGCAGTTGTTCGGCTTCGTCAGGAAGGTGGAATTTGACTCGTTCGGCGGCGGAGAAAGGTGTTTGATCGATGTGTACGCGCTGGACGGGGTTGCGGTTGCCGGTCGGTCGGCGGATCGTGTGGTCGAAGAGGAGGACTCTTTGCGCGCCTTGTACGTTCTTCATGAGCAGTTGCTCTACTTCTGGGTAGTATACGCGTTTTACCGCGTCGTCGTCTGCGAAGCCATCTCTGTCCAGCCCGCTCTTGATGTTCTGGTATGTGTCGAAGGCGTTGTTGTCTAGAGTGAATTTCTGCTCCTGACCTCGTAGATCCTTGAGTTCGACTTTGGTCCAGTCGTCGCCCCAATTCCGTTGTGGCACGCCTGGGAGCGGCTCGACGTAGTTGTGTGGTGGTGAGCCGTCCTCGGGGGCTTTGTAGAAGGACAGCGAAGCTGTTACGGGGCCGCGAGGGATGGGCAGGCCTTGGTAGTTGACGTCGGAAGAGGTTGTATCGCTGGTGGTGGGCGTAGGGTCGGAGAGTTGGTGGGCGGGTGTCGGAAGAGAGGCGGTGGTCGTCATCTTGGTGACTGTTATGCTAGATTTGTTCGCAATCGAAATGAGAAGGGTATGGTCTAAGGTTTGCGAAGACTAGATCGAGGGTGGTGATGGTGGCTGCTGGATCAGTGGCTGTACGGTAAGTTGTTTGGATATCGGATATGATCAAGGACAGCTTCGATGCTGTTGTATACGCCTATGCGATTAGAAATGCTTCCTACCATTGCGACGTCAAGTCGCCCTTCATCCGCCGGGGCTTCCCCTCATTCGGCATCTCTGTGGCGATGATGCCATAGCTCTATTCCCGAGGCCAAGCTGTGTTACTAATGCCCATCGTCCAATGACTGTGTGCGTGCTGACAAAGTACGCGAATTGTGTGCTAGAGGTAGCTATTCGACAATGCGCGCTCGTTTGCCAGTGGTTGGCGTGGTGGTTTGTAACAATTGCGTGGTTTCTAAGCCAGCGTTCATTAAGGGATGAGCAACTGTCCGGAGATGGTGCGGAGATAATTCGGAGGGTCAATTGCGTCATACCTCGTGCATATCCGTAGCGGAACGCTGCTCAACACCATCACCTTTCTACTTCAGCTCTTCATGGTACTCACGATGCCAGTATCACCTTGGTATATGTTCGTTATTAGTTGTACAAACATGGCCATACGCCAAAGAACTTGCATGGCTTCGTCCGCGGACCCATCCCAAGCGACGAACCGAAGCGTTCGCGACCACTGGCGATGCGACTGAAACAGCGCTGAAGCACTGAGCTTATGTAGACAGGCCAACACTACAATAGAGGCATCTACGATACATCTATGCGCATCTAGGCCATTGTCTAGCTGTAGCATGTCTAGCGGCATCGGTCTTCAACTCGCTTCTAGCCGTGATTGCCGTCTTCACCAGCATCAATTGAAGCCAAGGCATGCTACTTGTTGGTGGCGTGCGCTTCTACGATGGATAATGCAGAATTCGATGAATGCAAGCGCTCATCGCACGCATCGACGCGTCGCGCCAGTGCCTAATGCATTGGACCCCCTCTACAAGCACTCATGCGTCGTCTCAACGTCATCATGTTCGCATTGGACTGTGACATCGTTCCTCCACCTTTAAACCACATAAAGGTCGCAACCACTATAAACATATCTCAACATGCTCCGACTCTTCTCAAGAAACCTTCCCACAGCTTCCAAATCTATCACATCCACATTACGAACAAATCAATTCATCCCCAAAACTACATATCAAATCGTCAGAAACATGAGTGGCGGCAAGGCTAGCACTGATGAGCTGAAGGGCTCAAAGCTCTTTGATGTTTCTCATGTTACCGCTCTCGTTACTGGTGGAGGAACTGGTATCGGTTTGATGATCACACAAGCGCTAGTCGCAAACGGCGCGAAGGTCTACATCACATCAAGACGTGACGAGGTGCTGAAGAAGACGGAGGAGCTGTACAGCGGTGGTGGTCCAGGCCAAATCATTCCCATTCAGGCAGATGTCAGGTAAGCAAACTCTTCGTCGATACCATCATGAGTATCGATACTAATACTACCCAGCGAGAAGGACGATGTAAAGCGCCTCTACGAAGAGATGTGCCAAAAAGAGCCCAAAGGTATCCAAATCCTCGTGAATAACGCCGGTATCGCCCGCGACGACAACACCAAGTTCTCCGCAAACGGCCAGCCAAACATGGAAGACGCCCAAGCTATCTCCGACCATTTCCTCAAGTCGCAGCCCGAGAACTGGGCCGACACCATGAAGACCAACGTCGGAAGCATCTTCTGGATGTCGATGTACTTCCTGCCTCTATTGGCTAAGGGCGGCAAGGTCACTCCTGGATACAGCTCGCAAGTCATCAACGTTAGCAGTATCTCAGGATACATGAAGGGAAGCAGCAGCGGCCAGTTCTCATACGCGTCGAGCAAGGCGGCTGCTACACACTTGAGCCGTATGTTGGCTACGACGTTTGCGGGAACCAAGGTCCGCGTCAACACCATTGCGCCTGGTGTTTTCCCAAGTGAGGTATGTAACTCCGAAGTTCAAAATGTAATATCCGTGAAGGTCGAGCTAACACGATGTAGATGACCACTGGCACTTCCGACGAAGATAACAAGAGTCGCATCGAGTCCGGCATGAGCAACCCCGCTGGTCGCCCTGGTGCTGACACCGACATGGCTGCGACAGTACTATTGCTGGCTGGTCCAGGTGGTGTATTCTTCAACGAGCAGGTCTTGTACCCCGATGGCGGAAGCACTCTCACACAGCCCGCAGCGAGGGCTTAGTCGTGCATTCGTGAGCAGCCTCACGGGTAAGAATCGATAGACCAGATGCGATATATCGAATGTAAATACAACGATCATGCATAGCCTTGTTCTGTGTCGCGTCATCTTCGTGATCCCTTTCAAACCAAACGCGTCTTTTCGCAGGTTTGCCGTGCCCCACCCCGCCGAAGCCTTCCGAAACCCCACCACAAGCGCAAACTCTTTCACGCTACACTGCGACCACCCACCCCAGCAAGCAGACAATTGTCGCAAATACTGACCGACGGCAACAACAATCAGAACCAAGTACTAGTACGATGCTTTTTCCCACGTCTCCATCAATCAATAGATTGGCCTAATGGCCCAATGGCAAGGCGCTTGACTACGACTCAGTTCGATATCAAGAGATTCCAGGTTGTAAGTATTCACTCCACCCGGCTCACAAGAGTCGTCCATTCGAAATACCGCCGCTGACGCCCAAGAAAGCGACCCCTGGTTAGGTCACAACACATCTTTTTTGCTCTTTTCTTTGTCGTTGGTGTGGCAGAAATTGAGGTCTGAGCATCTTGGGGGATTTTCAGATTTATTAATTTTTAATTTTGCTACTAACTAATTAACGTAGCTTTGTAATAAGTAGTAAGCAACGCTGAATTAGACAACAGGTTAGTAGTAGGCTATACTTATGTAAAGCCTGTTCTCTTCTCTAGTGAAGTGGCTAATGTTGCGCGAACTACCCGTTCTATTCATCACACTAACAAACATACAACACAAACCACTCTTACGTCTTTGTTGCAACACGGGAGTTTAATCATTGTTTTTGTCTACTGCAACATTAATTAAAGTTATATCCTTTTAGCAGAGATCTGAACTCTGGCATCTTGATAGTTATATGACTAGCGGTTAGCTCGACTTCTGACATCGTTCATATCCAGCGATGCTGGGGTTGCGAAAAGGCGTGCGAGAAGTCTGGTAGTGCGATTGAGAGTAACATGAGTGAATGGTTCGTTACGTAGCAATGGTTGCAACGATTTTAATGCATCTTGCCAATTCATTCTTGCTCGCCAAAAAGAGGTGCATCTTCACTGGTGGAAGCCGTGGAAGCTGTGACATGAAGGTATGCTCACTGTACATTCATCGAAGAGTCATGTCGTACTTCACACAATGCTCCTACTTAACTGTACCACTACATCCCATTTCTCCCGAAAGTCTTGGTACTAAACTCGCTCTTACCACAGGATCTACTCGAATTCCACTGAATCATCACTCGACGGTCCTACGATCCATAATGACGACATCTAACCCAACCCCAATCACACGCGGCAGCATGCAACCCACCCCACTACCCTGGCTAACAGCCCTGCTCAGACCGCGTGTCAAAGACTTCATAGACGTTAACACGCATATCCTGCGGCCTATATCTATGGCCGCACAGGACGCTACGTATACTCGACTCACCGACACCGGCGAACTTGACCTTCAAGCCCGCGCCGACGCAAAGCAATCCTTTATCCATGATGTACACTACGGCACTTCTCCTCGCGGAATAAGACGCCAGCTACTTGAAATTCCGTTTGACGACTTCTTCGATCTGTGCGTACGCGAACTGGCCAAGGTGGAAAATGGTCCTGTAGATAAAAAGAAGCATCGAAACGACCGCCTCTGGTTTCTTTTCAGCTGTGCAACGCATCCCGAGGCGGACACCGATGGGACGTTGGGGCCTGAGCTGTGGAAGTACTACGAGTGGACGACTTGGTGGCCCAAATACGAGCTATCAGCAGTCTATCGCAGCTCCACGTTTGAATTGCAGCAGAAGGCAATCGAAGACGAAGAAGACCCCTTCATGTGGCCCGGTCTGACATGGTTTCTCGAGGACGAAATACGCATCCAAGATGGATACGCCGCGGAGAATATCGAGCATGTCATCAAGCACTTTCTCTGGCTCTTACTGAACACCATCGACGTTCACCTCGTCGATCATCGACTGGGCCTTAGTGATCGATATCCCGACGAAGAGGTCGCGGATGTGCTGCGTGAAGGGTATGACGTGCTAAATCGGTCCTCGAAGCTAGTGCTGCGAAATCCCTTTTCAGACATCCCCAAGCCTGTGCGTGAGGCCTTGGCGACCGTCAATACCATGGGTAACATCGAGTACGTCGGGCAATGCCCACTACATGCCCTCTACCATGCTGTACCACCGGAGCTTTTACATGCAACCGCGTACATTGCCTTCCTCCATTGGGCCTTGGCCGAGGTCGATCATTTGAAAGCAGATCCAGATGGCACCATACGTGCAAATCTGCTGAAGCTGCACATGGTAGGTGCACCAGAGGGGACTAGAAGCGATTGTAGACATTCCTGGACACGCCCTGCAGCTATGGGCGACGTAGTTACCGAAGAGCTTGAAGCCTACGTTAATCGCACTCTCGACGATGGCCCTGGTGTGGACGTCCCGATAGTGCCGACCGGACCACGCATTGATCCCGACGGGTTGTGCGATGTGGTGAGCACGCCAGAAGCGACCGAGCACTGCCCGATTTGCCTTGAAGACTACACGGACGTTGACAACGTGTGCGTGCAGCTAAAGGCCTGTGCGCATGCATTTCATCGCGGGTGCTTGGATGAGGTGGTGAACGGGGTGTATCCCGGTGTTCCTGAGATCAGATGTCCGGCATGTAGGACAAGTATATGTAAGGCCCGCGACTATACCGCAGTGCTGGACAACGAGGTTCGAGATGAAGCTTCACAGCTGACAGAGGGTGGAGATTGTGGAATCCCTTGAGTAGGACGTCGCATGTAGACGCTGGTGTTGACAAGTATTTTGTGCATCATATGCTATCGCAAGCTAGAGTATTAATGTAAGAATGATGAGGCGACTCCGTCAAGTGAAGGTCCATGCAGGCGAAGTGTTGAGTAAACGGATGGCACGGCGGGGTCGGCTTGGCGTCATGTGACTGGGTGCAATAGTATTTTTGCGGGTTAGCGCAATGACACGGCAGCAAGGGCATGATCGCCGCAGGGCAGCAACGCCGAAATCTGGAGCGAGGTGAACTGATAGTAACACGACCGTCAAACTCTCGGCGAGCACACACCCAACGAGTGCTCAAGATGAAGAAGCTCGTCAACAACTCTAAATCACGATGACGCCATGTTGAAGATCTCGGCGAGGGCGTGCAGCCGCCAGCTAGCGGACCGAGACGCTTCAGTCATCATAGCTAGAGACGCAGCGGCCAGACCAATAGCTGCACTAGCTCACCAGATAGCAACGAAAGGCAAAAGTAATCACCTTTTGCGCAAAGCACTGCTCCAGCGTCTGTTCAATGCGGCGGTCGTGTGTTTTGTCGACTTCCGCCACTCGTCTTTGCGCCGGATGAAATGGCCTCGAACGGGCAACTACTCGCGCATCGCAACTACTACGGGACGACCGGCTATGGCTCACCACCACCATTCGATACCTCACGGCCCAAGCTGAAGCCCGCAGAGCGAGAGCTAGCAGACTTCACGCTCCTCGAAGCCCTCGACCGCGACGACCGCCCTACCTTCGCCGTCGAAACACGCTCGTCCCTAGGCCACGATGAAGCCCACACTATAGAACTCGTGTATGCGAACACGGCGCTTCACACCGTTGGCGGGCTTATGACCAAGATCACAGGCGACGAGTCGACTAGCTTGTTCGCGCAGAGCTCGGGACCGCAACTTGCCTTCCGGAATTGGATTCGTGGGCAAGGCATTGAGGAGGACCTACAACAACACGGCAATGCATACACATTCGAAGGGCACGTATGGAATGCGACAAGTGTGGGGCGCTACAAGATTGTCAGCGGAGTGCCAACGCGACTGCTGTGGGTCGACGCCGCCCCAGGAGGAAAGAGCCACCGCACACTCCGACGCGAGCGGAAAACGCCTTGGCCTGGGAGCAAGCATCGCGCGGATGCACTACCCATCAAGCCCCAGCTGTCGCTTGCTCAGATATCACAAACGCCCGAGCCCGGAACCAGCTCTTCTGGAAACCAAGGCGCAGTACCGCACACGTCCTTCGACTGTACTTCTGATGTACTCACCTCAACCAGCCCGCACATCGAGTACTTCCGCAGTGTGGATTGGGCAAGTACACCCCTGGGTCCAATGAGTTCATGGCCTAGTGATCTGCGTTGCGTAGCGAATACAGTACTCAGTAACAATGTGCCAGCCGTCATGTTCTGGGGCGACGATGTCATCATGTTATACAACGAGCCATACGTCCAACTCCTTGGCAGCCTCCATCCATGCATGGGCGAAAGTGTCCGCGTCAAGGCGCCTGATCACTGGGTCTCGTTTCAGCCTCTGGTAGACTACATCAAATCAACAGGCGAGTCAATAGCCGAACCTGACATGCTCCTCTTCATCGAGAGAGACAAGATCCTTGAAGAGACACACTGGTCCTTTCAATTCGTCCCGATACTGGACACGGACGGCCAGGTGGCAGCCTACTACCAGTCCTTCTACGAAGTTTCCAACCACCGTATCCTCGAGCGCCGCGTCTCTAGTCTGGTCGCAATGGGAACCCAGAGTGCGAATGCCAGAGATTTTCCGTCATTTTGGGAGACTACATTGCGCTCACTGAGCTTGAACGATAAAGATGTGCCATTTGCTTTGTTATATGCTGCCGAGCGGCATGTTAGCGCTCAAATACCTTCAGTATCATCACCCGGTAGCATTCCTCCGTTGGAAGGTTGCGTTCTCAAGGGTACCATTGGCGTTTCAGCTGACCATTCCATCGCCCCCGCGACCATCCATATCAACGAAGACTCTTACATCCTCCAGCCGTTCCTCAGTCGTGCCGCCAAGTCCGGGAAAGCGACCGTTGTTCACGTCGAGGACCTTCCCGATCCAACAAGGGCCTTGCAAGGCATCGACTGGAAAGGATATGGTGACCCTTGTCGCACCCTGGTCATCTGTCCAATAATACCCACCACTGGAAACCAGGTAGAAGGTTTTCTCATAATTGGCATAAATCCGCGCCGCCCCTTCGACGAAGAGTACCAGCAATACCTACATGTCATGGTGCGGTTATTGGCTACGTCTCTTGCTTCCATCGTTCTTTTTGAAGATGAAGTCCGACAAAGAGAAAACGCCATCATCCAGGCTGCTCAGATCCAAGAACATCTGATGGCGGAGATACAACTCAAAGAAAGCAAGTTTCAGCGCTTCGCGGAACGATCCGACGTAGGCATATTTATCATTGATCCGGCAGGAACTTACACTTACCGTAATCAACGATGGCATGATATATTTGAGATCGCATCCTCTGATGACAACGCCACCGTGGCATGGCATAAAATCGCGTTCGAAGAGGACATCGCTTACTGCCAATCAATGTTCGCAAAACTAATCATGAATCACGAATCAGTTATCTTTGAGCTGCGTACGCGGATGCCCTGGACGCCGCCGTCAGAGTCAGATGAGCCGCAGACTGAGGATACCCAGCACTTTAAGTGGATTTTGTGTTCAGCCTTCCCAGAGTTGGGTCCGAATGGCGATCTTGTCGAGGTCGTTGGGAATGTCACAGATATATCCAGTAAGCAACTCTATGTACGATGACCCGTGATACATGCACTGACCACCCGCGCCCGATGTAGAGCAGAAGTGGGCGGAAGGCATTCAAAAGATACGCATGGACAGCGCACTGCAAGGCAAACAACACCTAGAACACTTTCTGGACACGACGAGTCATGAGATGCGAAACCCTCTCAGCGCCATCATGCAATGCGCGGATTCTATCACGTCTTCCTATCCCCAAGAAGATTACCAAGAGCGCCACAACACCACACCAAACGAGTGGACAGCCTTCATCGAGTCTACCCTTGACGCTGCCCAGACAATAGGAGTTTGCGCATCACACATGAAGCACATAGTCGACGATATTCTCACCATCTCCAAACTCGATTCGGGTCTCTTGGATATGACACCGGTCATTGCGCAACCCGAGAGTGTAAGACCTTTAATCTGATGACACGTATGTTACATAGACTAACTTCATAATCTGATAGGTGGTTATGCACGCAGTGAAAATGTTCGACGCAGAAGCAAGAGCAGCAGGTATCAACCTCGTGTTGAACGTGGATCAATCCTATCGCAACATGGAGATCGACTGGGCATCTCTGGATCCAACAAGAGTGTTGCAGATTCTGATCAATCTTCTCACCAATGCCATCAAGTTCACGCGCTTGGAGTCTACCAAGCGTGTAACAGTGACTCTGGCCGCCAGTAGCACTGAACCCGTCTCGACGCTACATGGAATACAGTATAACGAGGAGAGGCTAGTAGGACAAGATCCCCACTTGGAAGAAGATTGGAAGAAAGCTCAAGAGTTATTCTACATTCAATTTGCCGTCACTGATACGGGCCGTGGACTTTCCGACGAAGAAAAGTGCAATCTCTTCACCCGCTTTTCACAAGCCTCACCTCGGACGCACATACACTACGGTGGCTCTGGCCTTGGGTTATTCATATCTAGACGTCTCACCGAACTACAAGGCGGATCAATCGGCGTCGCGAGTGAGTCTGGAAGAGGCAGTACGTTTGCCTTCTACATCAAATCACGGCGGGCGAGACCTATTGTAGCCCGAAAAGGCAGTCTTCCGCATGTTTTCCCAGAAGAGATCAAGCACAGACGCCCGATACCGCTTGTAAGCCTAACGCGTCCGTCTCCTCCCGTGCGCATATCCACAGGCGAGCAAGGTCAAAGATCAGACTCTGCCAGTCCAAAAGCCCGCCGCCCGTCGGTGCAATCGAAATCCTCGCAGACTGAACACTCTCACGTTCGGCCGGAAGCGCTAGGACTACCAGAAGGCCCCGATCTGCAAGAATTGAAGCGCACAAAGAGTATACCAGATACGCTGCACGTTCTTGTAGTGGAAGACAATCTCATCAACCAGCGCGTTCTCGCCAAACAGCTGCGCAATTTGGGATGTGTTGTGAGCGTTGCCAACCATGGTCAAGAAGCCCTTGACTTCCTACCAAAGACCAGTTTGTGGAAACACGATCAAGCTACTGGCGACGCGATCGCGCGAGAGGACCTCCATGATGGCGAACTGCCCATCGAACTCAGCCTCATCCTCATGGACTGGGAGATGCCAATTATGAACGGACTTACGGCCGTTGCCGAGATACGGAAGCTCGAGCAACAGGGCTTGTTGAAGGAGCGGGTGCCAATCATCGGGGTCACGGCCAACGTGCGCCAACAGCAGATCGAGCAAGCTATGGCTGCGGGAATGGACGATGTTGTTGGTAAGCCTTTTAGGGTTGCAGAGTTGCTCGTGCGGATGAGAGGGATAGTTGCTGGCATGGAGCCCGAGGGACCAAATAGTGCGACCTTAACTGAGGGGTATGCGAGCTTTGGATGATGGAAAAGTCATTGGATCACGATTTACAAGGATTAATACCATTTCATGGGTGCAAGCTCAGTATCCGAACAACTGGGAGACCTCGCAACATCTTGCCTTGTTCAGTGTCGATCGCTGGCCAAGTGCTACAAAGTAAGCGCTCAAGGCTAATCTGAGCAACATCTCCAAAGCTCTGACCACTTGTTCTTCAATAACCCTACACGTTCAAGGTTGACTGCATTAGCGCACTAATCGCTTATCACAGGTTGTATATTGACTTGCAGGCCTGAGAACGATTACGCGAACGGCCAGCTGTGTAACTACCCCTCATGATGCTGACACTGGACTGACGAGTTCTTGAGCTGATTGCATTCCGCATTCTTTCTACTAAGACCATCGTCCTCAACCATGGCGCTATTCCAAGATCTTGACCTTTGGAACTTCCTAGTTGTCTTCTTCGTTTATATCCCCATTCTTTACAGCATAGGCTGGCTCACATGTGCGCGAACGCTTCACCCGCTTGCGAAAGTACCAGGTCCTATCTGGCCTGCGATATCCCGCACATGGCTCATGTATCGCATGTATCAGGGGGATTTGGAGATGCATATGCGCGCAATGCATAAAAGGTTCGGATTTCCCGTTCTCGATCAATGGGTGAGAGCTGACGTGTTATAGTTAGTGTTCCCATCGATACGAGTTGAAGGATGTTCTCCAAAGAGACACTGGTATCGGAACAACATCAAGTTCTGGGCCCTTAAGAAAACATGCTAATAGCGTCTTACGTGCTAGAACACGGCCCAATCGTGCGCACAGCACCGGACGAAGTGCACGTCAGCGACCCAAGTGCTATCCCTACCATATATCCTACGCAGCAGCCACTTGAAAAGACCGATTGGTACCTCACATATAGAGCGGTGAACCTTGGGCTCAGCCCCGATTTATTCACAGATGACAATGAGAAACACCATGCAGCTCACCGACGGACCGTCGGCTCAGTGTACACACTGAGCAGCATATTGAAGAACGAGCGGGCCTTGGACGAATTGATGACATTGTTCGGGAAAAGGCTCGGTGGATTTGCAGATCGTGAAGAAGACGTTGACTTTGGCTTATGGCTGGAAATGTGAGTGCGCCAGGTCACATGTCCTCCTCGATTGCAACAACATACTGACCCACACGTACAGGTTCTCCTTCGACAGCGTAGGCGCCGTATTCTTCGGCCAGCCCTTCGGCTTCCTGGAAACGAGTTTAGACTATGGAAATTACATCGCCGCCGTACATACCGCCATGCCGATGAGCTCCGTCATCGCGATGGCGCCTCTGTGGTGCCGCGGGTACCTCCTCCAGATGGGCGTCATGATCCCCAAAGTCTTCAAAGCTATCATGGCTGTAGATGGTATCGGGCAGACTGCTGTTCGGGAAACAGGTGTTGCGCAGGAGAAAAGGGCAGAAGCGAATGCGCATTGTACGGATGTTCTGTCGCAGTTATTAGGGATTATGCGGGAGAAGGCAGACAGTCTGTCGATCGAGAAGATTCATGTTGAGATGTGGGCGGCCGTGTAAGCACCAGCCGTGGACACCAAGAACCTTTTTTTGCTAATACATGGTAGTATCGCCGGCTCGGACAGTACCTCCGGTGCTCTCCGCGCAATCTTCTACTTCCTCATGAAACATCCCTCAAAGATGGAAAGACTAACCCAGGAGATCGACGATGCGTTTCAGAACAGCACGCTCACCAGTCCCGTACAGTACAGTCAAGCTACCAAGCTATCCTACCTCATGGCCGTCATCCAAGAGTCGCTAAGACTTTTCCCGCCGTTTGGCGTGCCTATGCCGCGGTACGTGCCGAACGGTGGTCTGCATCTCTTCAGTCATCACATCCCTGCAGGCTTCAAGATCGGTATGAATGCCATGGTCACGCAATTCGACGAATCGGTCTTTGGCGAAGACGCGTGTGAGTTCCGTCCGGAGCGATGGCTCGTCAGCGACGCACAGTACAGAGCCATGCAGAAAGCTATGCTGGTGTTTGGCGCGGGGACTAGAACTTGCATTGGGAAGCATGTAAGTTGCCGACAACTGGGGTAAAGTTTGTTGTCGCGTTTACTGATGATGGTGCTGTACACAGCTTTCGAATGCGGAGATGTATAAGGTGGTGCCGGAGATACTGAGGAGGTTTACGGTGGAGATGGCGCATGATGGGCCTTGGAAGACGCATAATGCGACGTTTGTGCTTCAGAGTGATGTGATTTGTAGGATTAGGCGTAGGCCGTTTTGAAGAGCTGATATGCACGGGAACGTCAACTTTGGCGTCAGTTGTAGATGGCATGTTTTCACAACGCGTCACGCGTGCGCACGTGCGCAGTCTTGAGGCTAGTCTTGATTCGGCGATGCCGCGTCTACCCGGGGAATCACTTATCCCGCCTTCAGTTATCTACAGTCTCATTGCCTTCTATGTAAATGAATATTGATCCAGATTCGCATTCGACGCGCGCTCAATGGACAAATCTACCCTGTAATGCATACTGCAGATGACTTTGTAGCACGACGCGCGACCGCTATGTAATGAAGTCTGGGGCGGGGCTAGCGCTATCGCGTGGATTCCTGCCGCCTGTTCTGATCAGCTTCTCCTTCGCCCACCTCATACAGGACAGAGACCAAATACCTTGAAGCCAACGTTGACGCTGGGTCACCTACTTTGCATGTTTTCATCTTGATGTACCTAGGTAGGCTCCAGTGTCTACTCAATACGACGCCGCTCTCTCGCATCACAGATCTCCGCTCTACACAGCGGACAGCGATTGCTATTCTTCTCGATGCCGTTGACCATATCTTCCAAGCACTGCGCATGAAACGCATGGCCGCATCCGACCTTCCAAGCCACCGTATCTGCGCTGCGGACGTCAAAGCGCTCCAAATCGACTGGACAGATGGCTTCAGTCCCAAGCTGGACAGGCGTAGCCACGCTCTTGGTCAGGATACGAGGTCCTGTCGCTTCGAACTCTACGTCTTCCAATGAAGCAGGCTCAAACTCAGCAGGGTCCTCCTCTTGCCATGCTTGTATAATGCGATCAGGAACACGTAAATTTGCGGTCTGAAACGGGATGTAGTTTCTCTGTTCGACGCTTCCCACGCCAAGACTGAGGTCATCGAACAGGGTTGTGGTTCGAGGCACATCCTTGAAGACGCTTTCTACACATCGCACAAGCCACTTGTACATGTGCCAGTTGAGAAGCTCTGTCTCTGTACTTTGAAGGATTTCCTTCGCTCGCAAAACAACAAAGTCGTGGATAGTACGATGATTTATATTAGCGCAGTGGATGCGCGCATCCAACGGCATGTAATTCCCTGGATCGCCAAACATACGCGACAGCTGATCGACGCGATACTCTGCAAAAGCCTCCACCAACGCTGGACTGGGTGCGTAATCTGTTTTCTCGAAAAGGTCGCAAATGTATGCGATGTGGTGGACTAAGAGATTAAGGACAGACTCAGCCGTCTTGAGGTGTCCAGTGGCCGGTGCAGGGATCAACAGTAAGTCGCCCAAATATGGAAAGTCCTCTGGATGCGATCGCTGTTGCACAAAGTTGTCAATATCGCTCGGCCGGTCGAAGTAATGGGGTTGTTCCTCTATCAACTGGGTCAGGAAAGCAGCGTATTGCCCGTCGTAGCCTAATTGCAGCATCCTCAACCACAGCTGAGTGTAGGCATCGACGCGTACATCCATGAACACTGCGTTTTGCTCTCTGTCCATCTGCTCTCTGTCCATCTGCTCTCTGTCCATCTGCTCTCTGTCCATCTGCTCTCTGTCCATGTAGTCGATCAGCTCCTCACGCCGCTCCATTAGCTCCTGCCACGCTTGTCCGAAATCTCCAGAGGGCGTGGAAGCGAGCGCCCCTAGATTCGCCGTCCATAGGTTCAGAGCCAGGGCCCGTTTCCTTGGGTAAGCGAGTGCGTATAATAACATGGTGTCGTATGCGGCGACGACTTTACTGCGAGCTTCATGTGTGTCCTCCGCTGCAGCGAGGAGAGTGTGCAGGTACGTTAAGGGGGTGGGCAGCTGGTGTTCTGGTTCTAGTAGACTGTCCATGATAATAGTAGAGTGAGTTGAAGACACGTGTACTTGTAGATCGGTACTGCAACTTCCTGTATGTCTACTGGTAGTGGAAATATCGGCCAGCTCACAACGCCTTTGTAAAAACTTACGATTTCACAAACACAAATTCCAGCAATGAATGGAATGTACGAAGCGTTGACAATAGTCGCGACCTGAAGTAACGAGAATCATCGCACTACTTCAGTACTTTGTGGTGAAGAGCCCGTGTGCTAATTGCTAGAAAGAAAGTGAAGTGTTTAACGAATTGCTATGGTAATAGTATAGTCGAATCGAAGGTCATTCACAAGCAACAGGTCAAGAATGAATTGTATGAAGATCGTTTTATTAATGTCTAGGGTGCTCTGTAAAGGAGAGGCGTCAAAATTTGGGATATCGCTAATTATTACAAGTTTTTCTCGTTCCAACCAAGAGCTATCTAACTAGAGTGGCTGCACGTGGGGTTGGTGGGAGCATTCTTTCCACCAAAGTACACCTTGTTGTAGACGTTGTCGCCAGTCCAAGCATCGGACGGGACCTTCGGGGGGTTGACAGGGCCACCCTCCTGTTGAGAATGAGGGAACAGTCCGAAGTTGGGTGAGACGACGTTGTCGGGGCATCCGAGCGCGGTCTTGCTGAGGATGGGGTCGAGGACTGAAAGAGCCCACGAGACACCCTTGGCGACATTCTCCTCGGTACCGCCAAGCGCAAGCGGAGTGATAGAGTTGAGACCTTGGTAGACATCGCAGAGCAGGGTCTGGACAGTCAACTTGCCAGTACCGACCTGAGCAACGCCAGGAACGATGATGTTGCGGGGGTAGATCTGGAGGAAGCCGTCGGAGAGGGCCTGAACCGCGCCGTACTGGGTGTCACGACGGTACCAGTTCTCGGGCCAGCGCTCGGGAACGTACTTGAACTCCTGGGTCTTCTC